CGAGCCAGTTGCTCTGGTAGCGGACATCGCTGAAATGTTCCCGCAAGTCGTTCTCGCAGAAAGTGACAGGAAATACCATCGTTTCCTGTGGAGGGTGGATGGAGAAGTCTGTGTGTTTGAGTGGAACCGGCTAGTGTTCGGCATAAAGGCATCCCCCTTCCTGGCAGGCAAGGCGGTCAAGAAGACCCTGGAACACTTTGGTGACGGGTACTCTGCAGCAGCGGTGGAAGCCATCGACAAGTCCACGTATGTGGACGACCTGCTGAGCTCGGCTGCATCCGACGAAGCTGCGCGCAACACCCAGCAGCAAACGCAGTGTCTCCTAGCGCAGGGTGGGTTCCACTTGCGGAAGTGGTTTTCGAACAGTGCAGCCGTCATGGAGCCCATCCCAGAGGCCGACCGCGCCAAGGAAGTGGTGTTAAACTTGGGTGAGCGAGATGCTCACAGCTGCCTACCAACAGTGAAGACACTCGGCGTTAGCTGGCATGCACAGTCCGACACGTTCACCTTCCGCTACCAGCAGACCAAGCAGAGCCCAACGAAGCGTTCAGTGCTGAGCGGGCTGTCGACTGTGTTCGACCCGAGAGGCCAGATCGTGCCATTCACGATCCGGGCACGCATTCTTTTCCAGGACTTGTGTCTACTCGGTGTTGGCTGGGATGAGCAACTCCCTAGCGCAGAGACGAAGAAATGGCAAGCCTGGTTCGGTGAGCTGTCAGCTCTCTCAGGAGTTCAGGCTCCACGCAGCTTCAAGGCACCAGGTGCACCAGAGAGCCAGCTGTCGGTTCACACCTTTGTTGACGCATCTGATCGAGCTATTGCCGCGTCAGCATACGTGCGTGCAGTGGACGCTACCGGCAACGTCAGAGTAACTCTGGCAATGGCCAAGGCAAAGCCAGCTCCAATTCGCCGACAGAGCATCCCTCAACTTGAGCTACGTGGTGCGGTACTCGGTATCCGCGTGAGCCAGCACCTGGAGCAAGCCATTGGGATACCCATTAGCCAGCACACATTCTGGACAGACTCGATGAATGTGCTTGGCTGGATCCGCAACCATAGCAGGCGGTACAAGGTTGACATCGGCAAAAGAGTATCACTCATCCAGGAAGTGACCAGCGTCAAGCAGTGGCACCACATCAGCGGCAAGAATAACCCAGCTGACAAAGCGACGCGTGGCCTACTAGCAGAGGACTTGGCCAACGACACGTTGTGGTGGAACGGTCCTGCCTTCCTATCCAGCGCACCAGAGGATGACTGGCCCAAGCTTCCAGACTCTGTTCCGACAGCCGAGTTACCTGGCCAGTTGAAGCGGATGATTGAGGCCACACTAGTCACGGTACCAGCAGAGGACGAGCAGCAAACTAGCCGACTCAACCCGGTCAACTTTAGCAGCTGGCTACGACTTGTGCGGGTCACCGCATGGTGCAAACGTTTTGCGGACAACTGCCGACACCGCCAAGCTCAGCCAGCAGACCCTACAGCGCAGCAGTCATCCAGCGCTACATCCAGCATCAGTGTCGCACGCGATGGCAGCCGTCCGACTCGCAAGGCCTTGAAGCGAAGGCACGCCCTGCCAGCAGTAGAAGTGCCCGAGCTCTCAGTGAGCGAAGTTCGCAATGCTGAATTCCACTGGTTTGCCAACGCTCAGCAGGACTCTCACAGTGACGTCATCAAGGCCCAGCGCAGCGGTCAACCATTGCCCAAGGCGCATGCACTTAGCCATCTGATGCCAGAGTGGGATGGAGACGCGAAGCCAGGGCTTCTCCGCATGAACGGGCACCTGAAACCGCTCAACATTTGCCCAGTGGAGCCCGGCGACCCATCATCCTGCCAGGCAAGCACCCTGTTACGGCTCTATTTATTGCGCATGAGGATGTGAAGTGCAAGCATGTGGCTGGAAAGAACCACTTACTGGCAAACCTCAACGGCGAGTTCTGGGTGGTTGGTGGTCTCGGCGCTGTCAAGGCTCACCGACGTTTCTGCCCTGGCTGCAAGTTACAGTGGGCCAAGCCAGCTGAGCAGTTGATGGCGCCGTTGCCAAGCTTCAGAACAGCAGAACCTGTACGTGCGTTTCACCGAGCGGGCGTGGATTTCGCAGGGCCATTCCTGACGAAGCAAGGTCGTGGCAGGGTCAAGACCAAGCGCTATCTGTGCGTCTTCACCTGCCTCCAGTCAAGAGCAGTGCACCTGGAGATGGCATACTCCCTCCACACTGATGGTTTCCTGCTGGCTCTGAGTAGATTTGTGAAGCGACGCGGTCGACCGGCTCTGATTGTGTCGGACAACGGCACAATTTCGTAGCTGCGGAAAAGGAGTTGCGGGATGCAGTCGAGCAGCTGAATTCCGGCAGAGTGAGCGCTGCACTCGCATCGGAGCACATCGAGTGGCGTTTCAACCCCCCACAGGCGCCCCATCATGGGGGCGTGTTTGAGTCGATGGTGAAGTGCGCCAAGCGTGCGTTGCGTGGAATCCTGGAGCACGGAGACTGCACAGACGAGGAGCTGAGTACGGCGTTCATAGTTGTGGAAGCATTCCTCAACACCAGGCCGCTCACGACGATAAGCTCAGATCCGAGTGACCTCACCCCACTCACGCCACAGCATTTCCTCACCAGCCATGCCGACCTGTTGCTGGCACTTGAGGAACTGGCTGATCAAGCTGATCGCGTGAATCCAAGACATCACTGGAAAGCAGTTCAGCGACTGAGTAAGGACGTCTGGGACAGGTGGCTGAAGGAGCTCGTCCCAGCGCTCAACCTGCGTCAACGATGGCGCAATCTGCACCGCAATGTACGTGTTGGTGAAGTAGTGCTATTCTTGGAACCTGGCACTCCGAGAGGGAAGTGGCCACTCGCGAGAATACTGCAAGTGTACCCAGGCAAAGATGGCAACGTACGGGCGGTCGACATTCTCGTCCGCGGCAAGACCTATCGCCAACCAATCAATGTGCTCGTCCCACTGGAGGTGGATTCTGAGTAAGCCACCTGTACTATGCTCGTTCCGCAAGAGGTGGATTCTGAGTATGCTGTGTTCGTGTTAGTATTGTGCTCGTTCTGCAAGAGGTGGATTCTGAGTATGCTGTGTTCGTATGAGCTCGTTCCGCAAGAGGTGGATTCTGAGTAAGTTATGTTATCTCTATTGCCTCACTCAATCACTGTTCGTGAGGGAGGGTGGTGATGTACAGAACTATCACATGTCACATGTTGCACGTTGATACTATTAGTGTATTGTAGTTACGAATTGTGTACAGAACTGTCACATGCTGCAAGGGCAGTATTGTCAAGACCTGCTAGGTCGCTTGCAATATTGGTGCGGTGCGTATTACTGCTATGCATTTCGCGAGTGTAATATTTATTTGTTAGTCTGTTAGATCTGTTACATCACGAGTGCATATCCGTTACGTCTACGTCGAGACACATTTTACGATACAGTAATTGCTATGCGTGTTCGTACCACGACATGTTCACGAGCGGAATATCTTGTGAATCGTGCTAATTTATTATAAGTAGAATTGTTGACACACTAATTTGGTTGCAATGTACATGTACTTACTAGTACTTGATCCGTGGCATTATCGCCATCCGCGGCAACTCCGCTACGATCTACTTGGCGAAACTTACTCTCGCTGACAGGGTGTGCTGTCACCCTGTCGCTGGGTGCAAGCACCCCTTGACAGACACTGTTTTCACCTCCGTAATCAACAATTCTTTAGTCTTTCACTTCAGCACATTGCTAGTTTCTGTTTTGTTCTGCATTCAAATTATGATTGCTTTTCTTTTTGTTGCACCTGCACTCCGCGCTGCACGTGCACGCGGACTTTGGCAGTCGCCATAATAATTATTAGTATCTCTATGGCTACGGCATGCATTTTCTGTACGCTGCATTTTCTCTCTATGCCACGTCGTTGTGTACATGCATGCGGCGCAAGCCAATGCACGCACGCGGGCACGTTTTGCTGAGAACAGCGATTTGAGAGAGAGTTTTTGTCAAGTTTTGAGAGAATGGTGGTTAGCTTCTTGCCCAGATTAGTGACAGTTGTGGTTGTTGTTTGCCTTTGCGTTTTCCTGGTTTCATTCTCTGCATTTTAGTTGTGTTCCATGTCTGCATGTTGTTTTCCGAGTGTCAGTTCACTACACCAGAGTTCGAACAATTAGAATTTAATACAGTCTTCACCGAAAGGGAAAGAGTCGTAAACAGTGTACTCTGCTAACAAATGCTGTGATGCAAGCGTGAACCACTTTACATGCAGTTATAACTGCTCTGACAACCACTGTCAACTGGCTACTCACTACACTGTATTCGTAGTGAGGGTAACATAGATGCAGCTAACGAGGTTTGCACCTTGTCAGGCATTGCTTGTGATACTTACTAAGTCACCCTCGCTGTCACGTGCTGCATCTGCCACCCTGGTATCTCAGGCATGGTGGTGACCTTGTACAAGCGAAACTTCCTAAACTGGTTGTGTTTCTCAACACAATTGCATAGCCAGTTTTGTTGCGCATCTGCAATCTTTACTTTCTTCTGATTATGTACTTCAAATAGGGAAGTGTGTTTTTAAAAGGATCTGGGAACTACACAGCTCAATAAGACCTTTTTGGTTTCTAGGGATGACACTGCCACATCAAAAGACCATATGAAAAGGCTACATGAAAGGCGTCAGATGCCGCTTCTTTACGGATGGAGAGGAAAATTCAGATCCACCAATTACAGTATATGGGCAAAGGTGAAAACCCATTTTCTGCATCAATGTTGCCCTGTTTTCCAGACCTCGTGTTCCCAACTCACTGTGGTGTACAGCACAGTTGAAGCAATCCTCTTCAAGTCAGGACTTCATCATGATACATATACCTGTCATTGCACAATCATGGTCTGAGAACTCACTCACTGGGCCGGCCTGGCTCATTATGTTGGAAATGGTGCAGTACATTTCACTGAATGTTACCTCGGACTGATTCAACTGTTCTATACTTCATTGTTGAGTAATGCATGCGTAGAACTTACAGTGGTGAAGTGGATAGGAAAATCCCACAGCTTCCATCAGGAGCGTGATGCTCAGCATGGCCTGATACATTCAACAGGAAAGAACAGAAAACATAATTAAAAAAACTATCCATGTCTCTGTGCAGAAGTATTCGATTATAGGAATGGGTATCAAATATTAAAGGTTAGCATAACACACATACCCAACCAGTCATGTGTGCATTATCCACAGAGAAAATGATTCTCTTTTTTTCGTATAGAATCCCATGCAAACAGAAGTTCTCTTTGAGACCTGAGCAAGCCCATAGATCAAGTTGTGTTGCAAGATAGTGTGAAGTAGACATTTGCACACAAGTAAACTAACACTAGCATACAGGGAGCACACATGGTGTATTGAGCACATTCAACTTTACCAGCATCAGCTTGCCGAGCAGCAGTGGACTGACTGGCTTGATCAGAGTGTGACTGGCTGCTCGAAGGAACGCTGTCTGCAGAGTCTGATTGAACAGTGGATGCAGTAGCGCCGGTGGAGACCGGCTGGATGGCTTGCACCCGACGCTTCCGGAATATGTCCGGGTAATCGGTGGCCAGCTGCAGTGCGGAGAGTAACAAATATACAAACAAGCGACAAACATTGCGCTGACATCAACATCAGCTAGTGTCCATATCATCCACACCACTGAGAATCAAATCAACGAGAGGCACACGGCCAGCACACGGCCAGAACACGACCAGCACACGACCAGCACACAACCAGCACACGACCGAGAATGCATTGTGAAATGTGTAATGGTAAGTGATAGATATTTTGTTAGTAAAATTGTGAGACAACTTGCAAACTTCAGCAGAGAGACAGAGAGACAGAGAGAGTCAGATAGAGAGACAGAGAGACAGAGAGAGTCAGATAGAGACTGAGACAGGGGGGGGGGATACTGAGAGATCGAGAGAGAGACAGAGAGAGAAAGAGAGAGAGAGAGAGAGAGAGAGAGAGAGAGAGAGAGAGAGGAGGGAGAGAGAGAGAGAGAGAGAGAGAGAGATAGAGAGAGAGAGAGAGAGAGAGAGAGAGAGGCAGAGAGAGACAAAGAGACAGAGAGACTAAGAGAGAGAGGGAGAGAAAGAGAGAGAGAGAGAGAAAGAAAGAGAAAGAGAGAGAGAGAGAGAGAGAGAGAGAGAGAGAGAGAGAGAGAAGGGGGGGAGAGAGTGAGAGAGAGAGTGAGAGAGGGAAAGAGGGAGACTGAGGGAGACTGAGAGAGAGACTGAGAGAGAGGGGCATACACAACAGGCGATCACACTCACCAGTTCTTCATGCTGCCGTAGCACGTTGCAGATCTTTGCAAAGCGCTGGGCGTTCGGTGATTTCACTAGCAGCTGGTGAAGCTTGGTTGAGGTGTGATGGTAGTCGGTAACTGCCCAGCTGTGGACCAATGCTGCTGCAGCGTGTAGATGATTACTGTACACACATGATGAAGATGATGATGTAAGGCCCAGGCAGGTGGCTAGTGCAGGCAGGTCGGACTCACCAAGGCTTTCTCGGACGGACTCAAAGGACTTTGCAGAGAGCAGTGAAGCATGGTTGACCGGCCATTCGAGAAGAAGCGGGGCACGATCAACGTAACTGTAGGTAATGGAGAGAATACCCTGTGTAGCTACGGATGATCGGACTTGCTCTGCATCGTACACAGCGAAATCAAACTTGGTGCTTGGCTCGTGGAGGTGCTGACGAATAGAAGCAGAGCTGAGGATGCTCGTGGAGTAATTAGTGCCCGGACTATACTGTGCAGCGAGCCTCTCAAACACCTTACGCAACAGAGCCAGCAGACAATAGCCATCTAGCGTATCTTCAACAGGCGCATGGACAACAGCAACAGCTTGGCGCAGGCTGTCCGTGACGGAGATGCAACCACGGGCTGTGGAATGGACTGGAGTCACTACCACCAGATTCTTCCAGAGCTCAGCAGGAATGCCGTGAAGCTCGTGGAAATAGGCGTACAGCTCTGTCTGCAGCCGGATAACAAGAGCAGTGGAGAAGCAGTGCTGAGTCGTGAAAGAGACTCCTGCGCACACCGACCGAGGTGATGAATCTTTCTTGGCCAGTGGGCCGAGGCAGTTGTCAGCGGTCGGAAGACGGCTGGGTGCCAGGATCCTTTCTTTCTCCTGGAGCAACACACCTAGCTGTATTACCATCTGCAGCAGCAGAGGGCCCTGACCTTCTGCTCCTTCGCAGCTGTTAAGCTTGGCCAGGACTTTCTGGACCTTTGCAACACCATCTTTGAAGTGGAGCATATCTTCGTCGTCAAGCCCAGGTGGTGCGAAAATGAGACCAATGACCGTGGAGAGCAACCAGTTGGGTCGGTTAACAATGATGTCGTCCAGCTCAGGTGATGAGAAAGAAACAATCTAGAAACAAAAACACGATATGCAAACCCATACACACAGCAACACACATAGTTGTAAGCCGACGCACGATATATGCCCAAACATGGATGCACACACATTCCACACGCATGTGCAGACAGGATATTAAAAAAGCCAAATACCTCCAAAACAAAACAAAACGAAGCAAGTCAACCAGTCAATCCTCGACGTGTCATGACAGCACACCTCGCCTGACCCCACATTGAGTGGCAATGAGAAACTGTTGAATGAACCATCCTAAGTTCAAAATGAACAAACATGCAAAAATTATACTGACCATATGTCATTTGTATACAATAAATGAGGAGGCCTTGGGTTTATTAGTCATAAACCCAAGGCCGGAGCATTTATTGTATTTAGAATCAACCAGTAAAAACTCCTACTCAATCTTCAACAACAAAATTAGTGGACAGCTGTTATTTGTGTTGCTATGACAACTCGTGTGCTGGACGAGTATTTGTTGTCATTGGTTCAATTTCTTTTACTCTTCATAGGCTATCAGATCATTTTCCTTATTCGGTCTATTTATAACCAGTATCTATAATGAGAGTGTGGTCTGTCTCCATGGTTACCGGTGTCATTTCATAACTATAGTCACTGCTCCTTGTTAGACCTTATCTGGAAGGCCCATTCTTTCATATTCCAACAGCAGCCAAGGGAGCTAGCTCTCTTGGTTATGCGGACTGGGTCCGATCCTGAAAAAGCTGTTTTTATGAACTGTTTTTATGAACTGTTTTTATTGGATAGGATATGATTATGTTGAATAAACGAGGTTTGTGTCAATGGGAGATTGACTTGGAGTTTTTACGAGTTGATTGTAAGATGACATAAATGAATACATGCGCACACAAAATGGACGTAAGGGAAACGGGTACAGATGCCCTGGCTTGAGTTGCGCGGAAATCAGTGCCGTAATCTCTCATGGACACAAATACAACCCTCTTGTGCCAGCCAAAGCAGGACTAAAAATTTCAAACTTTGGAGCAGGGTGCAGGTTTTCGCGCTCTGAGGGTCCCACAGTTTCTCGCCAGGAACACCGGCATCAGGCCGGCCTGGTTTCAAACATTAGGATTTAGGTATTAGTTTGTAGTAGTAGTAGAAAACTAGGTAGGCATCTGATAGCGTTGGGTCACCTCCGCCATGCCTCCAACTAAATCTGCCGTTCGTGGACTGGCGGATTCCGAGGTAAAGCTGTTGTGCTCCCTCCCCGGGATCGAGTCGTCGGTAGTAGATGTGATGAAGACGTTAGCAGCATTGGTAACGGAGTCCGCAGACCACGAAGAACGACTGAATAACAGAATTGACGACTTATCGAGGCAAATTGCAGGGCTGAACGAGGAGGTTGTCGCCCTCAGGGAGTCCGCCATTGCTTCTCCTCGGCCTGCCACAGCTGACGAACCCCAGAGAACTCGTACTCCGCAGAGTCGACGGCGTACCCGTACGCGCAAGGGCCAGGCCCAGGATGCCACGCGGGACCAGTCCCAGGATGCCACGCGGGCCACGACTGATGAGGGCGACGTGCAGCATGCTGGCCAGCGCAACTTGGAGCTGGAGGACGACGACAACGAGCCCCAGACCCTGGACATCATTGCTGACGACAGCTGGCAATTAGTTGCACCGGAACCCCCCAGGGCCAAGAAAACAGTAATCTTTGTGGGCAACCTAGGTACAAACTGCTCTGAAGAGAGCATCAAAACTTTCGTGAAGCGGCGCGCTGAGGCAGTGGGATCAACGGCCAGTGTTCACAACAGCAGCATCCACACAACGCAGACGGGAAAGGTGTCAGCTAGGATTTGTATAGATGCCACAGACCTGAGCCTCGTGACAACTCCGGACTTCTGGCCAAGGCCTCTATACGCCCGGCCATGGGAGTACCGAGACCGCCCGAAGCCCAATCGACAACACTCTGCCGGCGCTGCGAGAGGTGACCCTACACTGGATGGTGCTGACAGCGCTGACAGCGACAGCACGGCATCTGCTGGCACCCCGCAATGATCAGTGGAGCTCCGCCGCTCCGCTGGCTGGTGACCAATGCATTTGGCCTCACCAACAAGCTGGGAGAGCTGCAGCATGCACTGCTCAACGATAACGTCGACATAGCGGTTATCACAGAAACGAAGTTCTCGACCCAGACCGTAGCCTCTGAGACAATATTTCCAGGATACTCGCCTCCCATCCGACGTGACCGGGATGCATTTGGTGGCGGCATTGCTGTATGGGTGAAGTCCGGCCTCCCAGTAGTGCACCTCGACCAGATTCCCACTGATGACCACGAAGTCCTCTGGCTCGCCGTGAGTCTTTCCACGCAACAATCTGTTGTTATCGGTGATCGGTGCCTTGTATCGGCCTGGATCCTGTGCGGACAACGACACCTGTCTGATTGAGTATCTTGGACCTGCACTAGACGTGGCCCGCACTCACGGCACTCACATAGTGCTAGCTGGGGATTTTAATGTCCATCACGAGACTTGGCTCTGCAGCAGCAAAACAACTGTAGCTGGAGAGGCCTTAGAAGAATTGTGTGCTGAGCATCAACTCCACCAGCATGTCTTGCAGCCGACTAGGGGTCTGAACACCCTGGACCTCATCCTCTCCAACATGCCCGTTCCTATCGACACCACTGTCAAAGCGCCACTTGGTCGCTCTGACCATGGGGTTGTTCTTGCCGACTTTTACCTCACCCCTGATGCTGAGCAAGCTACCTCCAGGACTGTCTGGCGCTACAATCAGGCAGACTGGGGGCGCCTGCGGGCCTTCTATCGCACTACTGACAGGTCCACCATCGTGACTGACGACCCTGAAGAGTCCTGCAGGAAGCTAAGTGACGTCATCTCCAGTGGCATGCAGAAATTTATCCCCGCCAAGCAGCTTGTTACCCGCCCAGCAGACCCCAAATGGTGGACTCCTGAGTGCACCACAGCATTGAGCACTAAAGACAAGGCATGGAAGGCCTGGAGACACAATATTTTCAGCGAAGCCCACAAGGCTTGCTTCATGCGCTCAGTAGAAGATGCTATCCTCGCGAATGTGCGAGCTCGCACATCCTGGGAACTGAGAGTTCGTCGGAAACTGTCACGCGGAGGCCTGAAAGACAAGCAATGGTGGTCGGTGCTCAAATCTGCTGCTGGCGCCAGTCATGGCTCGTCTATACCATGCTTGGTAGATGACGCTGGTCACCAACTCCGTATGAATGCTGCCAAAGCGAACTGCCTTGGTCGCTACTTCGCCAATAAATGTAGCCTTGGAGATGATGACTTGGGCCCGGGGGATCTCCCTCATGTTCGCCAACCCGGGGTCACCCCACTTAGCCGAATCCACTTCCGCCTGCAAACAGTGAAACGCCTCCTGAACCAGCTCGACGTTGGCAAGGCGTCCGGCCCGGACAACATCCCTGCCCGAGTGCTCAAAGAGTGCTCCCATGAACTTGCATCGCCTCTCACGTCTCTCTTCGCCCTGTGCTTCCGTAAGGGGGTCCAGCCAGAGGCTTGGAAGAGTGCTCGAGTTGTGCCAGTCTACAAGAAGGGCAGCCTATCCAACCCTAAGAATTACCGCCCAGTCTCCCTCCTCCCCATCATCTCCAAAGTGATGGAGCGTATTGTGAACTGTCAAATTGTGAATCACCTTGAAAAACATCATCTCTTGTCAACCAAGCAGTACGGATTTCGCAGTGGCCTTGGAACAGCGGACCTACTAGCAGTGCTTGGGCATGATTGGTCGCTGGCAGCTGGTTCTGGTGGCTGTGCCCACGTCCTGGCTGTCGACATTGCTGGTGCGTTTGACCGCGTGTCGCACCCCGGCGTCCTACACAGAGCGGCCACTCTCGGTATTGGCGGTAGCCTGCTGCAGTGGCTACGGGACTATTTGCGGAATCGCACACTAAGCGCAATCGTCAATGGACAGGAATCTGCTCAATTCCAGATTAAAGCTGGCGTACCCCAAGGCAGCATCCTGGGACCCACCTTATTCTTGATGTATGTCAACGATGCTGAGACCTGTCTTTCCCCATCAACACGAATGGGTGTGTACGCAGATGACACCACGCTGTACACCATCATACGATCCAGACATGACTCTGCTGGCAGTATTGCAGACATGCAATCTAGCCTGGATCGATTGAGTAGCTGGGGAGAACAATGGCGGATTCGCTTTGAGCCGACAAAGTCGCAGCTGCTGCATATTGGCCACCACCGCAACCCCTGGCCACTCCCAGACCTAACGTTCGGAGCCCATGATATTCCCTGTGGGGACGAGCTGAAGCTTCTGGGAGTGACCTTCGACAGCAAACTCACCTTCAGACGCCACCTCCGCAATGTTTCTCTTCGTGCCGTAGCCCGACTAGGATTTCTGCGTCGAGCATCAAGTTTCCTTGGTCGTGAAGGACGCTTGACAACGTACAGAGGCTTCGTACGCCCTGTACTCGAATACGCACCATTGACATGGATGGGCGCAGCCAACTCTCACCTGCAAAGTCTCGACCGAGTACAGCGGAAGGCCCTTGCTATCATTGGTCCTGACGCCTTGCTGCAGAGCCTAGCTGCCCGCCGCCAAGTGTACGCTCTCACGTACATGTACAAGCTAATGTGCCTTCAAGACCATCCAGATCTCTCTGCGCTCGTGCCGCCTCGCCAGGAAGCTAGCCTCGTCCCGCGGACAAGGTCGCAGCTCCGTGTCCGCCACCAGCATCAGCTACAAGCAGTGCTCCTCCCTACGGCCCCCAACTTTCTCCAGCGTTCGTTCCCATATGGTGTAGTGGATGAATGGAACAGGCTTCCGCAAGACATGTTTCCGGATCCGATGCCCCAGTTGAAGTCTCTCCAATCCTTCAAGACGAAGGTCCATCGCCACTTGCGTCAAAAGAATTGGCTCTGGGCTACGGACTCCCTGTGAGGCTATGCCACCCGTCAATGAGCAACTACCCTCGTCCATCATCTCTTTCTTGTTTTATATTTATTTCTCTTCTCATCTCTTTCTTGTTTTATTTCTCTTCTCATCTCTTTCTTGTTTTATTTTATTTATTTATTTCTCTCTCTCTCTCCCTCCCTCTCTCTCTCTCTCTCTCTCTCTCTCTCTCTCTCTCTCTCTCTCTCTCTCTCTCTCTCTCTCTCTCTCTCTCTCTCTCTCTCTCTCTCTCTCTCTCTCTCTCTCTCTCTCTCTCTCTCTCTCTCTCTCTCTCTCTCTCTCCCTCCCTCTCCCCCCCCTCTCTCTCTCTCTCTCTCTCTCTCTCTCTCTCTCCCTTCCTCTCCCCCCCTCTCTCTCTCTCTCTCTCTCTCTCTCTCTCTCTCTCTCTCTCTCTCTCTCTCTCTCTCTCTCTCTCTCTCTCCCTCTCCCTCTCTCTCTCCCTCCCTCCCCCCTCTCTCTCTCTCTCTCTCTCTCTCTCTCTCTCTCTCTCTCTCTCTCTCTCTCTCTCTCTCTCTCTCTCTCTCTTTCTCACTTGATCTCCCTCCCTCCCTAGCTGCATTCCTAACGATGCCTGGTCGTAGGCTATGATTCCGAGACCTCCGGTCGGATGAGCCTCGCCAACCACATCGGCACATCGCCCCTACTCCCCTTTGTCTTGTTGTCCAGCGTCATTTTTTTTCAGTTGTCCTCTTCCCCTGATTATTAGTAGGGCTGTGTTTTTTAGTAAAAAAAAAAAAAAAAAAAAAAAAAACTATGCAGCACATCCTCATAGAAACTCACTGTTGAAGATCAATCCATCAAAGGTGTAAAGCACAATGCACCCGTTGGCAATCATTTCTTTATCAACCTAAAGCCAGCAATCTGTAGGTGATGTCCCCTGCTGTCAAGCCCCAGCTAGCCATATTGTGCACAGCAACACACTAAACCTGTCCCACAATTTTCACTTCACCTTGAAGTTTCCAGCAGCCTTACACCTACTAGTATCGGTGTGTAGCTGGTCTAGCACTGAATAATAGATAATATAGGATTTCAAGGCCAACATGAAGCTCGTGTTCTAATAACTGCTAATTCTTCAATATTTACAAGTATTTATTTTTGATTTGTTTTAGTTTTCTGCCATGGCTGGCTACCGCCCCCCTCCCTCCATATTGGCCTATATTCTCTGGCCATGGGAAGGTGAAATAAATAAATAAAAAATAAAAACTACAGCTAATGGCAGGATGGGCATCGTAATGTTCTAGATATGGACTTTAAAAGAAGTAGGAACAAATCAAACCGGTTACATCTTTCCCTCAAACCAACGAATAAGAACACATCCAGTTTAGGGGTTGTTGCAAACGTTTTTTTGTTGTCCCTGAGACGAGCATCATTCGTTGGAGGGGTGGGGGGGGGGGGGGAGCAAAAATCGCAAGTCGACCGACACTACGGTCAATTCATCGGAAACTGTTCCGCTGGCTTTTGATAGTTCGATGTGGGCCGAATTGAGGATCAAAAACCCACTTTAAATCTCAATAATCTCGTTCTGGGTTTGGGATTTGCTTCTCCACATATTTTGCCATGGCATACCTGTCAAAATTTTGTAAACCTGGCTTAATTTCTATTTCCCTGTTTTTGGGCTTTTCTGCCCTCAAATGTGGCAAGGAGTTATTGCACGGGTCACACAATGCAGGATGTACTGTTGTTTTCACGATATCTACAACTATGTGAGGGAGACACTAAAAAGGTAGGGTGCCAGTTTCCAATAAATCGGGGAAAAAATCACAAGTCGACCGATACTATGTATCTAATATTGACTGAGTACGAGGTCAATATAGGAAATAAAAGCCGAGTAAAAGACCGAGGTGAAGCCGAGATCTTTTACGAGGTTTTATTTCCTGTACTGACCAAAATTAAATTTCACGGTTCGCGTGAGACTCGGCTAGAAGCCGGGCTTTCCGCATCCGTAGGAACGCCACCACCCTTCAAGGATCAAGGCGCAGATGCAGCTCCTAAAGCGGTGGGAGGTGAGTAGATCTGCTCACCAGCAAGTGGTGAAAGACCAAAAATCCCATTCACTGCATCCATGTTTTCCTCGTGCCAGACCACGAGTTCCCAATTAACTGTGGGTCGCAGCAAGGCTGGAAAAAATCCTTCCGCTTCCAAGCAGGGCTTGAACCTGGTACCCTCTGTTTCTCAATCATGATCTTAGACCATCACACTATGCCTGCCTGCTGCCTGACCAAGTACAAAGTCAATATTAGATTTATCACGACAAACAGTCCGTATTTCAAATTCCACAACGATACCCTCATGAATCCCCGTTTTATGATTGCACAACTGTTGCACCACCACCTACTCATGCAGTGACAATGCTGCACTAGGCACCGTTCAACTGCGCAACCCCTAAGCAGTCAAATATAAGCAGTCAATATAGCCCTAAGGAGTGAAATATGCAGGAATATTTGACTGCTTAGGTATGGCAAAAATCTATGTGAGTCAATACTAAGGGAGTGATAAATATATGTACATGACTACATATACATGCATGCAATTTTCATCATCCAGCATAGCAAGCTGCGTTCCTTTCATAGGGACTGGAGGGTGTGCGAGTAAGAAATGAGCGATGTTCATTTCAGGGACGATAAAACACTTTTGCAACGACCCCTTAGAGATGTACATGACGTACATGACATACATCATAACATGAAATACATCTACTGCAAGTAAATTGAAATTACTCTATCTGCGGAGTATGTACATACCAGCCCATACGCATTGAGGATCTTGCGATAGCGACGGATTTGTTCGGTGTTGATGCTGTCTTCATCGTCATCATACTCTACGTGGCTAGCAGCACACAACTGTCGACAGAACTCCAGATTTGTTGAGAATGGCTCTCGGATGTTGTCATGCAGTTGTGCCAGTATTTCCTCTGCCTGCCCGAGCACTTTGGGTTGCTTGCAAGATTTCTGAACATGCACATCAACACAGTGGGTAAAGTACTCTCTGTTCACAAACATGATTAAACCTTTTTATCGTTAATGATGTATGTATACGTCACTGAGAACGAACCCAATTCACTAATGACGTATTCCTCCGTCAGCAAAACTTCATTCCATATTTATTATTTACAGTCGCTGACTTTGGTTTTTTTGTTCCGGATCCTTTACAAGTTGCCAAAACACTAATTAATTATGGAGATCGCCAAGTTCTTTGCCCGAACTGTGAACTTGACGACCTCCACAGTGACAAGTCTGCCTGCAGGCAGTGGAAGAATACCAAGTCGTCGAAGTTGAGATTGGGACTTTGAGTCGGCTGAATGGCGACCCGAATGTCAAACCCTTTTGGTTTCCCCTGCGCTGCTAACACACGTGCATTGATTTGGGCTGTGTGCGGACGTGCAACATCGTGCTGGTACGGCATGCAGCGATGGCCGGCTTCTTTGAGCAACGCATCTTTAAAACTGTTTCCCATTTTCGCACTGCGGTGTCGTCTGGGCCTGGATAGGGTTGTGTTCTGGTGCCGATTTTCGAAAGAACTCCACACATAATTATACGTATATTCTATTTTATACTTTCGATTAAGTTTTCCATCAGTCCGATTGGTATTGTTGCTAACGGCTTTTGTTTACGTCACTTCTGTCAGTTAATTGTATTGTATCACTCTTCAGACATCAAACCTGAATGGCATAAGCGAAAACGGCACCCCGCCACCTTCGTGGACATGCGTTTAATAATAACAATAATAATAATAATTAAAAAGCTTACGTGGACGTACAAATGTAATTAACGCAATAAATAGCGTAAGCTGCGCACTCAGATACTAGACATGAAAACAAGTGTTGCTGAAAGGAACAGTTTTATTTATGGCTCAACATCTGAGTTACAAGTGTTGTTAATCGTGTTTGTACTGAGTGCGCAGCTTACTCTATTTATTGCGTTAATAATAATAATGGTAATAATTCAAGGCAAAATGCGCGACGGCTGTACTAAAGGCAGGAAAGCACGCTGCATCTGAGGAGATCCTATTACCTGACTGCTCATCTATCAGGTCGCTACAGCCAGAAAAAAACGTACAAATACCATGGATTCCTTGAAGCTGGAGGTGTTGACCATTCAAGTATGAAGACGAACATCCTGCAGGAGTACAAGTGGCGTGTACGACGAGTACTCCACGCAGCTCTAAACGGCCACAATATCATCACAGCCTTCAACACCTGGGTTGTGGCTTTGATATGGTATAGTGCTGGTATCTTGGCATGGATGCAAGACGAGTTGAAATCTGCTGACCGAAGAACGCGCAAGCTTATGATTATGAATGGAGCTCTCCATCCACGCGCTGATGTAGCCAGTATGTACGTCAGTCGCAAGGAGGGCAGACGTGCTTTGCAAAGTATTCATGATGATGTCACTATGGAGAAAAGCAATCAGCAGCGTTTTGTGCATCAGTCAGATGAGGAGCTCCTGAAGGTGGCTGCGCCCATTCTGTGGCCAAATCTGGATGCCCCACCGGACTCCTCACAGTTGGTGAAGTGTCCCTTCAAAAAGAACACCTCTTGTCGTGGACCCAGAAACCTGTGCATGGACAGTTTGTCCGGCAAACAGAACAACTGACCAACGAGAACACCTGGAGCTGGCTGACAAAGGCTGGTCTCAAGAAGACCACAGAGAGCCTGATCACTGCGGCACAAGACCAGGCCTTGGCAACTAACCTGCTCAAGGCCCAAATCTTCTATCAGGGCAGAAGCCCCCTGTGTCGAATGTCTGGGATGCAGGCGAGTCGATTGCCCATATCCTATGCGATTGTTCAAAGCTCGCTGGACGGGATTACTTCGAGCGTCATAATCGGACGAGTGCTCATGGACGAGTGCTCATGGATAATTCAAAGGATGAATCGGGGAAGTGAACTGCCTAAAAAGGAGAAAAAATCACCAGACCCCCAGGACCTTGTCCTGGTGGCTGAGTAGATCAGACTCACAGCCACGTGGTCTTGGACAACAAATCTGTTTGGCTGATCCATATTTTCCCTTCGGCAGGCCATCATCCAGGCACCATCCCTGCAGCTTGCCACTTTCTATGCCACACATTATTTTTGTGAAGGTCATTCTTGGAACATTGTTTAGGGTTGCTTTCCAGTTTGAATAGTTCTTTCATAACCAAATCCACAATTCACGGGAGAGGTGCAAGTGCGGATCACCACAAATGATGATAAACTCTGCCTAATGCACTGGTGTGCATTGCAGTTCTATCTCTGTCTCTCTTTTACTCACACTCTCACTCTCTGTCTCCCTAACATTTTCTCTCCATCGTTCTGTGCATTTTTCTCTTCATCACTTTATCTCTCCTGATCTTTTCACTATCCCCCAGTTTCTCCACTAGTATTAAAATCTGGTTTACAGTTTTACTTACGCTCAGGATATCTCTGCAGACCTCAGAAAGTTTGACTCTCAGGCGATCGAAGTCTGCGTCATTGACGGTGGCATTGATAGCAAAGCGTCCTCGAAAGTGGAGTTTATCACCAAACTCCTTCTCGACACTACTATAGCTTGTGGCAAGCTTTGCAGCAAGTTTTCCATGGTCCTCTTTCTTGATCTCGTCGCGGAAGGTCGCAATGATCATGACATTGAACGGCTGGTCTGTATTTACAACAATAAGAGATGGGAAACGCAAACAAAAAAAAATAATATATATTTGTGGTGAGGAGATTAATTTTGAGGAAAGGTGATTTTAAGCAACACACTCTCTGCAACATCATAGCATGCAGCTAAAAAATTGGTCAAAAGAGTGTTTTAAAGCAATTGTACTAATGCTACTTCAAATGAATTGGCGACCGATAGTACGTACTAGGGTGTTATGAGCGGCCTCGAAGATATATCTCGTGATTGAGGATGGAACCATGCCTGACCTCCATGTGTTCAGTCTCGTGCTGAGAACCTTGGCAATCTACTGGAGAAGTGGCTGCACAGGCCAGTCAGAAGTGAGCGCTGCTGTTTCTGCGACAAACAAAGAAGAAGCAGCTAATGCCGACCAGGCTGATTCTATTATCAGATCTCTGGAGAGCGAAGTCTGGAGATGGAGAAGACAGATGCGAGTTCTCTGAAAATCTTGGGCTCCATCGGGCATAGACAATTTTTGTATGGACATTTCGGGCGTTGCTCAATTGGAGAAGAGAGAAGAATATTTGAACCAAGGGCACGGCTCTTCCATTCAAGGCTCTCAACAATAAAGGATCTGAACGTTTTCGATCCAGAAGCTGTATGCTGTTTTCTCACTTGTGGACTCATTCTTGCAGAAAAGATGAGGCGGGACTATTCCATGCCCAAAAATAAAATAATTTATTTGTTTCTCAAACACAAAGCTCACTTTCCCTGACTGCATGTATGTGCACGTGGCAAGTCTGTGGACTTGTGCCACGTGATTCATGTAGCACGATAGTGCGGGTATCCAGTAGACTGGTAGTGGTACATAACTGTATGCACAGACCATAGTGCTCTGTGTGGTAAAACTGTTAACCACTGCACACACACAGCGTGAAAAGTCCAACTCTGGAAAGTTCGGAATAACTTGAAGATTTGTAACATGTCCACTATCCGTGTACGCACCCATGTGCCATGTGTCGACACTCTTATCTCATTTTCTAGACCACCTCCGTGTGAACATGCATGGGCAAAAGGAAAGGCCCAGTACATTGAGCAGTGCATGTTCAGCTTGATGTGCAGTAACAATTCGTTAGTACAGTGTACAGTGTAGTGCACAGCACTTGTGAATAAAACTGTTTGTTCATGTGAAAATCAGTCTGATTTCACGTATCCAAAATAACGCCGCAACCCCATACGCTCCGGGGCCCATATTGACGCACATGTTCTGGACCCGTCTACCAAAGGTCCCCACGGGTTGCATGGGTATCCGACTACCCGTGTACACCAATAACACACACATAAACACACACACACACGAATGCACTACCACACACACACACACACACGCATGCACACACACACACACACACACACGCATACGCACACACACACATGCCTTGGACCTTGGACCTTGGACGCGCTGCCATATTCTGGCTATGCGGACCCCATGGGGGGTTGAGCAGGTTCGGAACAGTAGGGGCGATGACGGGATAGGTCCTGTGGTCTACTGAAACGCCGACCGCAATTGCAAACGATGCAGAAGGAGCTACGGTATGTGTTGGTTGCTCTGGCCGAGCCACGGCTGCACTTGTGACGTTTCATGCCTTGGCGCGATAGCACACAGCGGTTGCAGCGGGCGCAGTGGAAGCTGCAGCGTTCGCAGGACATATTGTTTGTAACCGGTGACTCAAGTGTGTCAGAAGATGCCTCTGCTGGTGATGTTGCTGGCGAGCACTTGTGTCGGGCAAATCCACCCTTGCTCCGGAACCATCTGTCGCACTGATCGCAGTGACAGCTTCCTGGCTGTTGGCTTACGGGTAGGGCACGCGTAGCTGTACACTTGTGTCGCTTCCTGTCACTTACACGACTGAAGGAGCGGTGACAAGTTTGGCACACAACCGGTGATGGTCGAGGTCTGTTCTGCTTGTCTGGCAGACAACGGTAAGCCTGGCGCCATTTGGAGCGAGAAGAGGTGGCCACTTCATACCAGTCGTCAAGTGGTTTGACGTCACTCCGAACACAGTCTCGCCACCTTTTCCGCGGACCATGGGCAGGTCTCTTGTTTGGAAACGAACCGAACAGTAGAGCTTTCGGGATGCGCTCATCCTCCATCCTTGCCACATGACCAAGCCACTCAAGGCGACGTCTGCTGAGACGACACTCCATGTCCAAGGTATCTCCCCAGCGCTCCAGAACTTCAACATTAGTTATCCTGTCATTCCATACATCTTGACGACTGATGCCCAGAATGGTGCGGACACAGGAGATGAAAGACAGACAACGCATGAACATCAGCCTGTAGCGGTACCCAGCATTCGGACCCATAGAGCAGAGTCGACAGCACACAAGCATTGTACACTGACCGTTTGATGGATATTGTCAGTGTTACATCGTGGAATATCGATTTCTTCAGAGCGCCAAACGCTTTGGCAGCTTGTGCAATCCGGGATGTGACATCATCATGACATCGGCCGTTGCTGTGTATGTTGGATCCAAGGTAACGAAAAGACGACACATGGGCAATCTCCATAGTTCGAATCGCGAGCGGCTCTAGATCGTCGTTAGAGATGTTGGGGCCAGAGACCATGAACTTGGTTTTGGTGGCACTGACGGTGAGGCCAAAATCGCTGCATACATCCACAAATACCTCCAAGGCTGAAACTGCGGCCTGGCGTGTCGCGGCCACAAGAGCGGAATCATCAGCAAACTGACACTCTGTCAGCTCCAGGGATCTATCACGGCGGCTACGGTGGTGGAGTAGCTTCCCATCTGGCTCGAAGAAGACCTTTGCGCCTACACCAGGGATAGGCTGCACGTGCTGGCGCCAACAATGCATCACTGCCCACATGAAGATGTTGAATAGGACAGGGGCCATGCAACATCCCTGCCGCAAGCCGTTCGTCACAGGGATGGGGTCAGCTTCAACATTCGACAGACGGAGAGTTGCGGTCATGCCGTCATGGAATGCACGGATAACAGCGATCAGCTTCTCGGGGACGCCAGCTTTTCGCAGTACTAACCACAGACACTCTCGCGGAACTGAGTCATAGGCTTTCTTCAGGTCAATGAAGATGAAGAAACACTTCTGCTTATGCTCGTAGCTCTTTTCGATTAGTTGCCTTGCCGCAAAGATCATGTCAGCACACCCGCGTCCTGTGCGGAAGCCGCACTGAGAGTCTGGTAGCACATCGTCTAGTTTATCAGCAAGTCGGCTCTGGATGACGCGAGCAACCACTTTACCAATAACGTCGAGGAGAGCTATGCCTCGCCAGTTGTCACATTCTGCAAGGTTACCTTTCTTGGGGATAGGCACCAGCTGCGCGTTGAACCAGTCGCCAGGAACACTGCCACTGTCCCAGACTGAATGAAGAAGCTCCAGTAGGTGGTCAGTAAACAGATCTGGACAGGCTTTGAGCATCTCCGGCAGGATTCCTGACTGACCTGCAGCTTTGCCACTTCGACATTGCGTGATTGCCTGCTGTAACTCCAACAGATCAGGCGGCGCAACCAAACTATCCAGACACGGCATTTGTGGAACACAGTCAAGAATACTGGAATTGAACGTACTTTGCACATTCAGAACACCAGAGAAATGACGGCCCCAATGTTTGGCCTGGTCTTCGGCAGATGCACATGGATTTCCATTCTCGTCGTTGATCGCAGCAGTTGTGATGCGGGTCGGGCCTTGTTCGACTGTTTGTAGTGCACGAACACATTTCCACACAGTTCGTCCTGAGAATCTTTGTGCATTGGCGAGCTCTGCCTTGGATGATATCCAGTCACGTTTAGCCTTCCGCACTCCGGCACGCGCTTGACTGCGAGCCTGTTTGAAAGCAGTGTGATCCCTAGGACGTTGATGTTGAAGCCAGAGCGCGTGCAGCCGATTCCGTTCCTGTAACAGAGGTTCAATAGTCGGGCCACTGTCCACATACCAATCAGGTTGTTTACGCTTGCGTTGACCAAGAGTGTCCGTTCCGGCAGTGACAACAGCATCGCGGAGGACGTTCCACTTTTCATCTATTGGATCATGCGGGCGCCAATGTGTTGATACGAGAGTGGACACCGCGTCTTGATAAGCAGACAACGGGGTGGCGCCATCATCAGGGTTGTTGTTTGCATCGGCAGAAAGAAATAACGTTATTACATATACACACATGCACACACACACACATACACACACACACATGCACACACACACACACACACATGCACACACACACACACACACACACATTAACAAGAACACACATTGCTTGGGTGGATGGTGCGCGGCCGGCGAAATTGAATTGCATTTGCCCGGGGGGGGGGGCAAGTAATAGTAGGGTTGGCTAGAGCCAAGAGCCCACTGATGCATTCAATGGAGAAATGGAGAACCGCTGGGCACCGTTTATTGGGGTTAACTTTATAAAAGTAGGCATGTGAGGATAAATATGGGAGTGGGAGGGTGGGAACGAGAAACAAATAAACTGACAACCAGTCACCACCATGAACAATTCTTGAAAAGAGATTGTCAGCAAGGGAGCAAGAAAAATGGGTCGCCATTTTGCGTCATGGTAAACGGACCTCAGTATGGTTGCTGACGTCATGGGCACGTTGTGTGCGCTGGGGTAAATGTGAGTGGCAGCACTGACAGTTGTGCGGCACCATGCCTGCGCGAGGACACAGGGCAGCAGAGACAGTTGTGCGGCGCCATGCGCCCGCAAGGACATGGGGCGGCAGAGGTAGGTGTGCGGCCCCACGCGCCTGCGAGGACAAAGGGCGGCGGAGACAGTTGTGCGGCACCATGCGCATGCAAGGGCATGGGGCAGCAGAGGCAGTTGTGCGGCACCATGTGCATTCGAGGACATGGGGCAGCACGTACCCGTGGCGGTGAGTTGCAATGATGCTAGCTGTTAATGAGCATAAACGCTGCGCATTAATGCGACATTCACAAGAACACGCATTGCTTGGGTGGATGGTGCGCAGCCGGCGAAATTAAATTGCGTTTGCCTGGGGGGCAAGTAATAGCAGGGTTGGCTAGAGCCAAGAGCCCACTGATGCATTCAATGCAGAAAGGGAGAGCCCATACAGGCCGGGCACCGTAACCCTAGGCAGACAGACAAGGGTCATAATAGTGGCCTGCAAATGTGAAGGCTAGCATGTGCGTCTCTCAACATTCAAATTATGGCAACGCGGATTCCGCGAATATTATTACCTTGTGTTCTTACTTCTTTGGCAGCCGGGGACTTAGATCGGTGCCTCAGCCAGACCGGTTGGATGTGGGTGTTTGCGCTCCAGGAGTAGCTGTTGATCGACCAGATCCGTAGCTGCTGGAGAGACGAAAGGGGCAATGACCCGACCCCATCGGGTGTATTATACGGCAGGCTGAGCAGGATGGTCGCGCCTGTGCAAAGCTGTCACAGGTTGTGGTCAATGAGGTCCCAACTGTTTGGTGGGGTCACGTGCGGCCAGTTGCCGGAAATGCTTATTATATTCAAGCCAGGCTTCTGGGAAGAAGCGGCGGTTAGCCTCCACCACGATTGACTGGTAAGACAAGAGCTCGTCTGTTTGATGTGGGCGGCTTGGAGTATGGTGTCACAATACACTGTAAATGCCTCGATCCAGGTTGGCAAGTCATGAACATGTCGAGTTCTCGTGCGGAAAGGGTCATCTGTGCGCACCACAACGGGCAAACCGTCTTTCATTTCTAGGCGCAGCGACTGCGTTGGCTGGGGCCTTATCCCACCAATACCATCAGACAACAATTCACTTAAGTCCACAAACTCTCTAGTGAGTATCCTGTTGAGTACTTGGCGGGGCAGGGAGGATGTCGGCAGGGCTGCCTGCACCGCGGTGGCCACCGGTTGTGCCGAGCATGGCGCTGCCGCCGTGGGCGCTGCTGGTTGTTGAGCCGCGAGGATGGCTGGCAGGGTCTCCGATACGACATTGGCCACGACGACCCGCAGAGTGTCCAGGTCCACACCGACTCCGCTCGGGGTGACATGGGGGAGGTCGTGTGGTCCGCGAGCAGATTCTCTCGCTCGCGATCCGCGGCGGATTCATCGATGTCGGGCTCACATTCATTGAGGGCTTCCGTCAGGCGTTTGACTAAATCAGTTCTACGGCCGGATGAACCCAGGCCGCGGGTGGACAGCTGTGCCCGGAGCTGCACGACTGTGAAGGACGAGACCTCGTCAGCAGAGATATTCGCGGCAGGATCCATGTTCATGGGCAATGGGAAACAAATGAACTGTCCAACGTCAACGAGAAACAAAAATAATTGACAACCAGTCACCACCCTGAACAATTCTTGAGAAGAGATTGTCAGCAAGGGAGCAAGAAAAATGGGTCGCCATTCTTGCGTCATGGTAACCGGACATCAGTATGGTTGCTGATGTCATGGGCACGTTCAGTGCGCTGGGGTAAATGTGAGTGGCAGCACTGACAGTTGTGCGGCACGATGCCTGAGCGAGGCCACAGGGCAGCAGAGGCAGTTGTGCGGCACCATGCGCCCGCAAGGACATGGGGCGGCAACGGTAGGTGTGCGGCCCCACGCGCCTGCGAGGACAAAGGGCGGCGGAGACAGTTGTGCTGCACCATGCGCATGCAAGGGCATGTGGCAGTTGGGCGGCGCCATGTGCATTCGAGGACATGGGGCAGCACGTACCCGCGGCGGTGAGCTGCAATTATGCTAGCTGTTAATGAGCATAAACGCTGCGCTTTAATGTGACACACACACACACAAACACACACACACACATACCTGCATGCACAAACACACACACACACACACAGTGCCCTCCCTGCACCAGTATACAGAATCAAACACATGCCCCAATCATTCAATCATTCATTCATGCATGTACTGTCATGGACATGGAAATCCGGTCGCACATCTAGCGGCCCCAGGGCACTCGCCATGCAGCCGTGGACAAGCGGTACACATATGCATTTATGCGCTGCAGCGCGCTGGTCGCATCGGATCAACATGTGCAGTGCACGCAGCGTTCTGTACGCGCTGAGGGCGCCGGCCCCGGTCATCAACTGAATTTCCATGCCTGCTACAGTACATGCTGAAATACGGATCAACAGACACAATCTTTTTTAACAAAAATGCATTTGATGAAATATCGCACTGACCTGATGTTACCGATGGTGGCATCCTGCTCAAAAACCGACCAGCTGTGGTGGTTATGCTTGTTGTTATCAGTTTCTCGTCCCATTTGCTATTGACAACAGCAAGACCGAGGCTTGGTACTGATGTGGATAGGCAGAAAATGTCGTGTGTCGCTGAAAACGCGTCCTGCCCAGCGAGATCTTTGATACGCAAATGCTGACCACGCTCATCAGTGAAGTTGGACATCTGGATGCCTCGGGTTCGTTTCGAGTCGTTCGATGTGCCATTGGTGCCTATGTTTCTCAATGTCTTGATCAGTGTGGACTTCCCAACAAGTTGTTCCCCGCTAACTAGAACAACTAGAGTGTTAGCGTCCACTTGGCCTTCGGAATAAAATTCCTCCAGCTGAAGGTAAGTCTGCGTACACAAGAACAACAATTAAAGAAAAGGGGGTTTGTCAACTTACAACTGCTCTATGCAGTTGCTATTCACACTTGGCGCATGCGCTGGATGAAAATTCGTTATCAGTGACGTAGTGTTCATCTGTTTGACAGTAAAGTATTCGAGGAGAACATTTCTTAAAGGGGAAGTATACCCTAAAATCAAAGTTTCACCAGTTGTAGTCTTCGAGGCGCTGAGCCGAATGGTCTTGGTCCGAGGACGCTGAGACGCTCCCTTCCTCCTTTATTCCCAATCGAACTCGCGCACTTCCACCGAAACTGGGCGACTGCGCCCTACTAGATAGGGATTTGTATGAAAAAGTCACTAAAAACGCTGTTCCGTTCTTATAAAAGCACGGATGACCGCGATTGGTCCGTATGTTGTAGTCTTTTGGCCGCTGAGTCGACTGGCTTTGGTCTGAAAAGGCTGCGATGCAGCGTTAGGCCCTTATTCCCAATCGAACACAGTTGAGTTAGCGGTCACTTGCTCATGCGTACACCAGTTGCCTGGTCACCGTGCCTGCACTGGCCGCAGGCTACAATTTTCACATCAAGGTTCAACACAAAGATTCAAAGCAGGGGGTCGTAAGAGGCTTTTACGACTCCCTGGTTCAAAGGTTCAACTTAAGTGACATAAACGGGCCCAAACAGGCTGTAAATTAGCACGTGACCGCTTACTCAGCCGTGTTCGATTTGGAATAAGGCCGAACGCTGCATCGCAGCCTTTTCGGACCAAAACCAGTCGACTCAGCTGCCAAGAGACTACAACATACGCACCAATCGCGGTCATCCGTCCTTTTATAAGAACGAAACGGCGTTTTTAGGGACTTTTTCCATACAAATCCCTATCTAGTTGGGCGCAGTCACCCAGTTTCGGTGGAAGTGCGCGAGTTTGATTGGGAATAAAGGAGGAAGGGAGCGTCTCAGCTTCGTCGGACCAAGACCATTCGACTCAGCACCCCGAAGACTACAACTGGTGAACTTTTTATTTTAGGGTATACTTCCCCTTCAAGTGGTTATGTATTTTTTTATAAGTCAGACAGTATAAATGAGAAGATCAGCTTGTACATATGCTATATGGGTCTTTCGGCAAACTGCATGCACAGCACACATGTACTTGCCTGTATTTAAACACATGCAGGAAATAAATCTATGAAGATTCTCGCTACTTGTAACATTAGGATGGTGGACATCGAAAAATTGAGTTGGTGATAGCTTTGTGAAACGTATTTAAAGTACAGACGACTTTTTACCATATGCACGGATTGAAAACGAAACTTCATCCTTTGTTTAACAATTATTATGTAAAAAAAAGAGAAGAAATACATGACAAAGAGTATGCAGCAACTATCCATGACTGTTGGGTGGTGTGTTGCTTTGCTGCTTCGAATTGTAGTCAAACTGCATTGTCATGTTACTAACTGGTCTCGTCATCGTCCTGTAACAGTCGGCATTCTTTGTTGCCGCGGGACTTAGCTTGTGCACATTTTTGCTGCGCTCACCTTCCCCTCTTCGGTCCTACGTAACCATGAACCTTCCAAGTTGGAAGGGTGTTGTTTTGCGCACTGGAGATGTGTTAGAGCTAGGTCTCGGGTCGCTGGATGTCTCAGTGCCCTGTCAGTTTTGTGCCCTATTATCGCACTTTCTGACCGTTTATCATCTTGTTACAGTCGTGGATAGTTGCTGCATAACTCGTTCTCATGTATTTCTTCTCTTTTTTTAACATTTTATTACTGGCTCTGTATCCGAATTTAAATTATTATGTACATAACACCAGCGAATGACCTCAATTGTCACGATACTCTCCATATCAACGGGACACTTGGAATACTCAGTATGACATATAATCACTTTACCTGAAGAGCTCGGATTTTGAGCCAATGTAATCATGGAAAAGTAAGGAAAGGACAAAACAAGACAAAATTTTACTAGTTATGACCAAGTGTCCAGCAGTGCAAGCAGATAATAATTATACCTTCAGCAAGTACGACAACAGTGCACAAAACTGACAAGGAGTACTGAGACATTCAACGACCTAACACCTCACTCCAACACATCTGAGAGGTGCGAACCAACAACCTTCCAACTTGGGAGGCTCAAGTAAGGAAATATCCAAAGAGGGGAAGGAAAGCGCAACTAAGATGAGCCGGGGCTCTGTCCCACAGCAACAAAGAATGCCGAACGTTACTGGATGAAGGTGATATTAGTAAGACAATTGGACGTACCGATTTTACTACAACCCAACGATGCAAAGTAACAGACCACCCAAATTGGGAGGTTCAAGTTTATAGGGTAAACATGGAAGGGGAATGGACTCAGATGGAGAGCCAAGGTTAAATTAATACAAAAGAGAAAGACCAAGGAACTACAAGTTACACTATACTGTCCACTAACACCACCAATTACACAGTGTCGTGCAATGTTATGGCGTGAGCTGATTGTTTAGTAACTGGTGGTGTCAGTGGACAGTATAGCGTAACTTGTAGTTCCTTGGTCTTTCTCTTTTGCATGGAAGGGGAAGCTGAGCATTCCTTGTCAGTTTTTCAGCTAAGTACTCCTTGTCAGTTTTGTGCCCTTTTGTCACACTTGCTGACGGTATAATTATCTGCTTACATAGATGGACAGTTAGTTATAACTCATAACATGTTCTGCTTTCCCTAATTACCTGAAGAAAACGAAGGTTGTGAGGATGAGCAGTCGCCTTGTCAGCGGCATGTCGAACAATTTCCATTACCTACATTGCCAATAGAACACACAGGAAACACAATGACAGATGTAAAAGTGGGAATAGGGAAGAGGAGAGAATCGTCCGTAGAGAAACATGGTTGGAGTGAAGTGAGGTGGCAGGAAAGACGGTCACGGACAGGGTAGCATGAGCAGAAGAAATACTTGTCTTTGTGGCTATTGACATTATATACGTGTATCCGTAGTACATATACATGTATACCTGTAGGGTCACAGAGAATACTAAGCTAGAATCCCATTACAGGACATCCCGTCCAGCCTTGTTATCAATTTTGCGTCCCATAATGCTTCTTAAATATTAGTGCTGGAGTGCGCGATTCTGTATGAACTCGAACGGCTCTTATCCGGGCTCCTTGGGACTGTGCACTGCCCATATCTCGGATTTTCCCGTATCTCAGGACAGCTCGTCTACCATGTGAGCCTGGATCAGCAAAAACCATCACATGTGTAACATTTTCAAAAAATATTAAGTGCTCCAAATTGCTCCACAACTACTGATATCCAGTCTTAAAGGGGAACTCCACGAAAAAATGAAAATTTGATAGCCTGTAGAGTTTCGGGCGCTGAGTCGAATGGTCTTGGTCCGAAGTCTCTACGAGAAAGCGTTCTTGGGATATTTCAATTTTAGCCACGCCCCACACCAATGTATGTGTGACATCATTGTGGCATGGTGCGAAAATACTTGGATTTTGAATCTCACTTTCTTCAGGACGAAAGTCACTTCAGAAAGTAGTTTGCCAAGTCACCTGAGCCCCTGCAATGCCAAATTGTTGTGTTGTTGGTAGTGCCAGTATCATATCATCCTCCTGGGGTTAGTTTTCTCAGATTCCCAAAGGATGGAGACCTGGCAAAGCGCCGAGATGTTGCAATGCGTCGTGAAAATTTCAAGCCTATTTTCGCAGCACGAGCTATGTTTGCTCGCTGCATTTATGATCCAGAGGGACTTGAGAGCTGAGTTTTGACGAGTACGCCGTCCAGGAAAGCCCTCATCAGTGAAACAGTGCCCTCCGAACCGTGAGCCTCCAGCAAAGCGAACTCAACAAGCTGCAACTGAGAAAGCAGGGCGAGATAGGTTCCATCAGGATCAGAAGAGTACATCACCCCATCAACTCCGACTGCAGCTAGCTGATGAACCCCAGTAACTTTGCGCATACCAGTACTCAAACTGTGCACATCTGTCATCAACTGGGACGCAAACAGACAGACCCCCAGCAAGTACGAAGGTTACAGAACTGTTTGCTTGCGATGTGCAGGCAGCATGCACGACGAACGGTCTCACCAATCCTGCCAAACTGAACCAGTGTAAGTTGATTGCGTGGATATGTCTCTATTTATAACAGCTACCCTACTTCTAGGCATGGTTGCTTGAATATCATATCACTCAGAGCAGTAGTTAGAAGTCTGGACAGCCTAGGAATAGTGCAAGTAAGGTGAAACAAAATTTTTTTACACTCCGAGTTCCACGCTTCATATCACTCAGAGCAGTTGTTAGAAGTCTGGGCAGCCTAGGAATAGTGCAAGTAAGATGAAACAAAAATTTATTACACTCCGAGTTCCACGCTTGCGGGATCACCAGGCCAAAAAAATCTAATTTCGAACAAGGAATGGGTTCTGGTTGTATGCGAAAGAAAAGTAAGTGAAGACTTATTGTGCAAGGAATACAGTGGGAACTACACATATTACACACATGCACTCACACCTTCACCCACATGCGCGCGCGCGTGTGCGTGCACACACAAACACAACAACACGCACACATACGCACCCACATACTCAAACTCCCTCGCACGCACGCTAGCCTAAGGATAGTACATATGCTGTAGTAGTGGTGTACTTAGTGAAATGACTATGTGTACATCTAATGACGCCGCCACTCCACGCCAGAAGACAACAAACATCTGCTGAACATGTTTGCTCCCGTCTCTTATGGGCCACACAGGGAATGAAACGAACAATGCAATTGAGAACAAGAGTCGTCCTGTGCGGTGAAGTTTCCATTTTCTCATACAGCAGTTATTGTCTAAGCAAGTGTGTACAGAGATGTCTTGGTCAGAAAGTACAGATGTCTTACTCTCCTGCCAGAATTTGTGCATAATTTTGGTGTACGCTTGCTTGACCCCACGCTTGTACGTTGCATGCCATGGGACGAGTTTATTGACAAAGTCTATCGCTTGAAACGATAAAGTATGGGTTTGGGTGTGATCGAATGCATCCATGGTGCTCATAAACTGTGTGCAGTGCTCTCTTCACCAACAGAACACTATCATACTTTGCAGATCTTGTACCAATCCAAGGGAAAATGACAAAGACAAAATAATGTGTTTGAGTCATGAATGAAAACTTGTGATAACTACTGGCACTATAGTACAACGTTGTTCGTGCTATGCCTGGCAACAGTAAGTTACACAAAACATTACGCACATCGATCATCACAAGATAAGTCAAGACATACTCGGAGCAAAGAGAAATTAGTTTGTGTCATGCATGAAACTTGTGATAACTACCAGTACAATGTTATTCTTGTGCGACGCCTACTGTAGTGCGCCTGACAATAATAATTTCCCCCCAAAAAATAAGTGTATCATGATGCTGATACGCGATCCTCACAAGACAAGTCAAGGCAAGCTAATTGAGGCTTACCTAATGTCAGACTCTTCTGTCACTGGCATTGACGGCTTCTGCATGTCGAGGTAACCTCGAAGAGCAGTGGTGGGCACAGCCTCATGCAAGGATACGATCTCGTAATCTGCGAGGTCCGCTACGCAAGAAACCTTGGGCCGTCTTGTCGACAGCGACGGCAGCATCCTACCAGCAAAATCATTCCCGCGGGCTGGGCATGGCTATACACTTTTGTCCACGCTCGCACCAGTCAGAGTCCCAAACGAATCAAGTGGCCAAGCTACTCGTCTTCTGTCGGACGCAGCTGCTGAAGTATCTTCTTCCTCAACATTTGTTACACGCGATGGCTGCTCCTCAGCAGAGTATCTGAGCTCCCTGCCCCAGCCATACGCGGCGGTGGGCTGTTGGTCGTCTTCACTGGCCTCGGCATCGCTGCCTTCATTGCTGGGGACAGAGGATTGTTCGGAATCGCTCATCTTCCCTTGAAATACCAACTAAAATTAGTGCTTGTAGATTGGCGAAGAGAAACGACTTTGCCACGATGACGTAGGCAGCCCGTGATGACGTAGCCAAATGGCCGCATGACGTCAGGGCGCGGCCCTCGTTTTTGCAATTTCAAAGTGAAATATCTCAAGAACGCTTCGTCGTAGAGACTTCGGACCAAGACCATTCGACTCAGCGCCCGAAACTCTACAGGCTATCAAAGTTTCATTTTTTTCGTGGAGTTCCCCTTTAAGAAATTTTAGATCAATCACAGCACCGTAAGTGGGCAAATATTGCGGTACACCACACCTCTGTACAAATGTTGGAAGTGGTATTTCTGTGTAAGATACAAGTATGAGAGTTGGTATGTGTCTGATCCTGTTAGGCCATGCCATCACTCAACTGGATGAGAAGGAGGAATTTTATAGTCCTTGGGGGTGTACTCAGACACTTGCTTGTCCAAGTAATTAATTGGCTTCACTGACTATTAACGTATCTAAGGGCATATGACCAAGAGAGTTCCAGGGGCTGATATTGCATATGACCAAAAGAGTTCCAGGGGCTGATATTGCATATGACCAAGAGAGTTCCAGGGGCTGATATTGCATATGACCAAGAGAGTTCCAGCCGCTGATATTGCATATGACCAAGAGAGTTTCAGGGGCGGATATTGCATATGACCAAGAGAGTTCCAGGGGCTGATATTGCATATGACCAAGAGAGTTCCAGGGGAGGATATTGCATATAACCAAGAGAGTTCCAGGGGTTGATATTGCATATGACCAAGAGAGTTCTAGGGACCGATATTGCATATGACCAAGAGAGTTCCAGGGGCTGATATTGTATAATGACCAAGACAGTTCCAGGGGCTGATATTGCATATGACCAAGAGAGTTCCAGGGGCTGATATTGCATATGACCAGGAGAGTTCCAGGGGCTGATATTGCATATGACCAAGAGAGTTCCAGGGGCTGATATTGCATATGACCAAGAGAGTTCCAGGGGCTGATATTGCATATGACCAAGAGAGTTCCAGGGGCTGATAGTGCATATGACCAAGAGAGTTCCAGGGGCTGATATTGCATATGACCAAGAGAGTTCCAGGGGCTGATATTGCATATGACCAAGAGAGTTCCAGGGGCTGATATTGCATATGACCAAGAGAGTTCCAGGGGCTGATATTGCATATGACCAAGAGAGTTCCAGGGCGGATATTGCATATGACCAAGAGAGTTGCAGGGGCTGATATTGCATATGACCAAGAGAGTTCTAGGGGCGGATATTGCATATGACCAAGAGAGTTCCAGGGGCTGATATTGCATATGACCAAGAGAGTTCCAGGGGCTGATATTGCATATGACCAAGAGAGTTCCAGGGGCTGATATTGCATATGACCAAGAGAGTTCCAGGGGCTGATATTGCATATGACCAAGAGAGTTCCAGGGGCTGATATTGCATCCACACCAGGCTCTGTACTGATGCTCTCCAAGCCCTTCACTTCCATGAAAACATATCTGCACACACGGAGTGCAATCCTAGTGGCTGTGACTACTTAGCACACAGGATCATAAGCTACATACTAGTATTAGGTGCAGATACAATCATCGTCATTGTCATTGAGACATTGTTACCTCACTCAACAGGAACATATTTCTGAATTGTTTTGGGAGATGCTGCATGGACCAAAATACATGTTTCAAGGAACAAGTTGCTCAGCGTCCAAGCCAATGAAGCAACTCTTGTCTTGCGCTAGTACTCGTTGCTCTTACAGTCGTGAATCGAGACGCTTTTGCTCTGCATCGTTACTGTCGATATCTGACAAACTTACTAGTGAAGGAGTCGTTCATCGCTCAACAATATCCACTTCGTCGTCATTCTCATCAGCGCTGCTTTCTTCAACACAAAATCTGCAGCCTCGCTGAGTCGCTTTGCGGCAGGAGAGAGTCGTCTTCCGGAGCTCCGCAGCTTTCACTTGACTCCCAGTCATCACCAAAAAAATGTCGTGTCATGATTGGCGTCAACGACGATCGATGCGCGTGCGATGCTCGCGTCCTGCGGTCGTACTTATTCGCCCGCCAAGCACAGGTACGTGGGGTTTCCCAGTCGTGTCTCCTCACTTGCCTGGGGCTTCCCTAGCTAGCTAGTCACTGACAAACAAACACGGGCTTGTCAGGCGGAAGAAAGACTAGTGACAAGAAAAACAGAAAGGTGATGGCTTAGTGGTTAGGTCTGCGACATTTCTTTCGCTCGACTTCACTTTTTGATCAATTTGATATCAAACACAAGCGTTTTCACTCACATAGCAACCGGGTTGTACATGGGCTAGTGGTACACCAGAATGCACGCTCTACGAAGAATACAAGACCACGATGGCAGGTGGGGGAGAGTTGCGCAGTGGAAGAGCAGCAGAGCACGACAGAAAAATGGTGAGTGAAAAATACGTTTTTTACACTCTTTCGCTACGCTCAGCCGTGAAAAAACAACACTTTTTGCTAATCCGGGCTCATTGTATAATACCAGTCTTTGAAGAAGTTTTTTTGGCACATTTTCCGCGTATTCAGGATAAAGAAAATAGTGCATTAATGAAAATGTGTGGATTCCACAGGTGGGCTGTGATAAATTGACACTAGTGTACACGAAAAATAATCCAAACCCCCAAATTCGAAGCAGTTTGGCCATAGGAACTCAAGCTAATGGTGCCCGGTAGAGAGGCGTGCCAGTACCTGAGGCATCCGGATAAAAGACGTTTGAGTGTACTCATTGCTTTTAATATTTGCAACTATTGCACCCTTTCCGCAGTCTTAGTAAACTGCATTGTAGCCATTCATACATTATTGCACTCATTCCAAACACCCACACAAGGACGTTTCTGCTGCGAACGTCACTTTTGGGTCACTAAATGTTTGGGCATAACCTATCATTAGTTTGAACCGGTAACCTGAAACTGAGCCAAGCCTGAATATTTGGTAAATCAAAAGCAGTGTTTGCAGCAGAGAGACAATGTGTGAGTGTCTGGAGGGAATAGAGTGATATTGTGACCTCATTGGTTACGCAAGTTTTCGAATGGCAAATTCAGTGGGACCATTGTCATTAGGTTTAGGCTTGTTTTGGAACTCCACTCTAAATAAAGCCAAACAACAACAACAACTGGAGAAGAAGGTGGAATTTTATAGTCCTTGGGGGTGTACTCAGACACTTGCTTGTCCAAGTAATTCATTGGCTTCACTGACTATAGCGTATCCAACGGCATATGACCAAGAGAGTTCCAGGGGCTGATATTGCATCTGACCAAGAGAGTTCCAGGGGCTGATATTGCATATGGCCAGGAGAGTTCCAGGGGCTGATATTGCATATGACCAAGAGAGTTCCAGGGGCTGATATTGCATATGGCCAAGACATTTCCAGGGGCTTATATTGCATCCACACCAGGCTCTGTACTGATGCTCTCCAAGCCCTTCACTTCCATGAAAACATATTTGCACACACCGAGTTCAATCCTAGTGGCTGTGACTACTTAGCACACAGGATCATAAGCTACATACTAGTACTAGATGCAGATACAATCATAAGTCATTGTTACCTCACCCAACAGGAACATATTTTGAATTGTTTTGGGAGATGCTGCATGGACCAAAATACATGTTTCAAGGAACAAGTTGCTCAGCGTCCAAGCCAATGAAGCAGATCTTGTCTTGCGCGAGAGTCGTTAATCGAGACGCCATTGCTCTGCATAGTCACTGTCGATATCCGACAAACTTACTAGTGAAGGAGTCGTCAACAATATCCACTTCGTCAGCGCTGCTTTCTTCAAAACAAAATCTGCAGCCTCACCGAGTCGCTTTGCGGCAGGAGAGAGTCGTCTTCCGGAGCTCCGCGGCTTTCACTTGACTCCCAGTCATCACCAACAAAATGTTGTGTCATGATTGCCGTCAACGACGATCGATGCGCGTGCGATGCTTGCGCCCTGCGATCGTACTTATTCGCCAGCCAAGCGCAGGTACGTGGGGTTTCCCAGCCGTGTCTCCTCACTTGCCTGGGGCTTGCCTAGCTAGCTAGTAACTGACAAAAAAAACCCGGGCTTGTCAGGTGGAAGAATTACTAGTGACAAGAAAGCCAGAAAGGTGATGGCGTAGTTGTTAGATCCGCAACATTTCTTTCGCTCGACTTCAACGTCACTTTTTGATCAATTTGGTATCAAACACAAGCGATGGCTTTCGCTGTTCCGGGCTCATGTACTTTGACAGTTTTTGAAGAAGTTTTTTTTTGGCACATTTTCCGCGTATTCAGGATAAAAAAATAGTGCGTTGATGAAAATGTGTGGATTCCACAGGTGGGCAGTGATAAATTGACACTAGTGTACACGAAAAATAATTCAAACCCCCTAATTCTAAGCAGTTTTGCCATAGGAACTCAAGCTAAAGGTGCCCGGTAGAGAGGCGTGCCAGTGTCTGAGGCGTCCGGGTAAGAGACATTTGAGTGACTCATTGCTATTAATATTTGCAACTATTGCATCCTTTTCCGCAGTCTTAGTAAACTGCATTGCAGCCAATTATACATTATTGCACTCATTCCAAACACCCACACAGGGACGTTTCTGCTGCGAACGTCACTTTTGGATCACTAAATGTTTGGGCATAACCCATCATTAGTTTGAACCAGTTACCTGATACTGAGTCATGCCTGAATATTTGGTGAATCAAAAGCGGTGTTTGCAGCAGGGAGACAATGTGTGAGTGTCTGGAGGGAATAAAGTGATATTGTTACCTCATTGGTTACGCAAGTTTTCGAATGGTAAATTCTTTTTGATGTATTTTCTTTTCTTCTAAGTTGCGCTTACCTTCTTCTGCTCCTCTGGGTACTTGCTCTCAAGATGGCGGATAATTGCCCTTAGTCTAGCCGCAGGCTGAGCAAGCCAGCTCTTATTACTTGCTACTGCAGAGTCTAGGCATGTCATGTTGTCCTGGTAGAATGAACAATGGTCAATCAACAAGAAAGTAAAACAGACCTCTTAGTAAACATTGCACTTAGCTTTGTAAACCAGAACAAAAGTTGATTGTGAATACTTTGCAGATTCAAGAAACTAAAGACTTTTCTAATGCTCGTTCTGAGAATTATCACAACTCCCATTAACCCTTTGAGAGCCGCCCCATACTTGAATGTGTAGAATTCTACACACTCGACTGTGAGACTTCAACAGGCTGTAACTTGGTCAAAACTAGCTCAAATTCAACCATCCAAATATCTATGTTGAAGAGAAAACTCTCAGCGTGCCGTAGAACCCATCCGGGAAGCGCTGCGAACAACGGCTCCTGAGATTATAACACATTATAATAGCGGAGCCAAACTATGTCTTGTGATCAGAAAATTAAATTAAAAAAATTAAATTAAATTAAATCAGAAAATTGTACAATTTATTTAATGCATACTTCAAGTATGGTATTGGTCAGAGAAAATAATGTAATTCGTCATTGATTGACTCGCCTTGTTGAGTTGTACTTAGACCGGCTTGTCAAATGGTCTTACCAATCTCCTTATCATCCTGTAATCTTTCGACGTTCTTTGCTCCCGAGGGATATACCTCGTGCAAATCTTTGTTTCGTTTTCTTCCCCTCATTGGACCATTCCACACGTAAGACTTCCAACTGATATATGAAGGTTGGTGTTTTTCAATTTGTAGATTCATTGGAACTAGGTGTCACGTCGTTCAATGTCTCAGTACTTCTGTCAGTTTAGCATCTTGTTGTCACACTATCTGAATGTTTATGCAGTATCCCTGCCTTGCTTGATTGTAGCTGACTATTGCAGTATCCCTGCCTTGCTTGATCGTAACTGACTATTGCAGTATCCCTGCCTTGCTTGATTGTAGCTGACTATTGTAGTATCCCTGCCTTGCTTGATTGTAGCTGACTATTGCAGTATCCCTGTCTTGCTTGATTGTAGCTGACTATTGCAGTATCCCTGCTTTGCTTGATTGTAGCTGACTATTGTAGTATCCCTGCCTTGCTTGATTGTAGCTGACTATTGTAGTATCCCTGCCTTGCTTGATTGTAGCTGACTATTGTAGTATCCCTGTCTTGCTTGATTGTAGCTGACTATTGCAGTATCCCTGCCTTGCTTGATTGTAGCTGACTATTGCAGTATCCCTGTCTTGCTTGATTGTAGCTGACTATTGCAGTATCCCTGCCTTGCTTGATTGTAGCTGACTATTGTAGTATCCCTGCTTTGCTTGATTGTAGCTGACTATTGCAGTATCCCTGCCTTGCTTGATTGTAGCTGACTATTGTAGTATACCTGCCTTGCTTGATTGTAGCTGACTATTGCAGTATCCCTGCCTTGCTTGATTGTAGCTGACTATTGCAGTATCCCTGCCTTGCTTGATTGTAGCTGACTATTGCAGTATCCCTGTCTTGCTTGATTGTAGCTGACTATTGCAGTATCCCTGCTTTGCTTGATTGTAGCTGACTATTGTAGTATCCCTGTCTTACTTGATTGTAGCTGACTATTGTAGTATCCCTGTCTTGCTTGATTGTAGCTGACTATTGCAGTATCCCTGCCTTGCTTGATTGTAGCTGACTATTGCAGTATCCCTGTCTTGCTTGATTGTAGCTGACTATTGCAGTATCCCTGCCTTGCTTGATTGTAGCTGACTATTGTAGTATCCCTGCTTTGCTTGATTGTAGCTGACTATTGCAGTATCCCTGTCTTGCTTGATTGTAGCTGACTATTGCAGTATCCCTGCTTTGCTTGATTGTAGCTGACTATTGTAGTATCCCTGCCTTGCTTGATTGTAGCTGACTATTGTAGTATCCCTGCCTTGCTTGATTGTAGCTGACTATTGTAGTATCCCTGTCTTGCTTGATTGTAGCTGACTATTGCAGTATCCCTGCCTTGCTTGATTGTAGCTGACTATTGCAGTATCCCTGTCTTGCTTGATTGTAGCTGACTATTGCAGTATCCCTGCCTTGCTTGATTGTAGCTGACTATTGTAGTATCCCTGCTTTGCTTGATTGTAGCTGACTATTGCAGTATCCCTGCCTTGCTTGATTGTAGCTGACTATTGTAGTATCCCTGCCTTGCTTGATTGTAGCTGACTATTGTAGTATCCCTGCCTTGCTTGATTGTAGCTGACTATTGTAGTATCCCTGTCTTACTTGATTGTAGCTGACTATTGCAGTATCCCTGTCTTGCTTGATTGTAGCTGACTATTGCAGTATCCCTGCCTTGCTTGATTGTAGCTGACTATTGTAGTATCCCTGCTTTGCTTGATTGTAGCTGACTATTGCAGTATCCCTGCCTTGCTTGATTGTAGCTGACTATTGTAGTATCCCTGCCTTGCTTGATTGTAGCTGACTATTGTAGTATCCCTGCCTTGCTTGATTGTAGCTGACTATTGTAGTATCCCTGTCTTACTTGATTGTAGCTGACTATTGCAGTATCCCTGCCTTGCTTGATTGTAGCTGACTATTGCAGTATCCCTGCCTTGCTTGATTGTAGCTGACTATTGTAGTATCCCTGCTTTGCTTGATTGTAGCTGACTACTGTAGTATCCCTGCCTTGCTTGATTGTAGCTGACTATTGTAGTATCCCTGCCTTGCTTGATTGTAGCTGACTATTGCAGTATCCCTGCCTTGCTTGATTGTAGCTGACTATTGTAGTATCCCTGCCTTGCTTGATTGTAGCTGACTATTGCAGTATCCCTGCCTTGCTTGTTTGTAGCTGACTATTGCAGTATCCCTGCCTTGCTTGATTGTAGCTGACTACTGCAGTATCCCTGCCTTGCTTGATTGTAGCTGACTAGTGTAGTATCCCTGCCTTGCTTGTTTGTAGCTGACTATTGCAGTATCCCTGCCTTGCTTGATTGTAGCTGACTGCTGTAGTATCTCTGCCTTGCTTGATTGTAGCTGACTATTGTAGTATCCCCGCCTTGCTTGATTGTAGCGTATCCCCGTATGTTATCATTTGTAGTTTGTTGCCTATAAAAGCTGCTGTTCATTTCTGTCATCACAATATTTTTTAACATAATAAACCAGGTGGTGTACGTGAGGAAGTCTAAGTAAAAGTTAATAAGTATTAAGCACTGTGCCTCCACTCGGCTACCTGTTACATTTTATTATCTCGTTACATTGGTGGATCATGGTCAAAATTTGTAACATTTTGGCCCCTACTCTTTAACATGAAAATATTGTTTCGCCACCCAAGATTAAAATTTTATTACTGTTATCAACACATTGTCTCACCGTCTTCCTAACTTTGCACAATACTCACCATGTATCTATCTCACACATCGCTAGCGTTATCGTTCTTAACCAATAACAATTGTTGCTGTTTTGACACATTCATTTTCTGGTTTCTGAATGCATACATTCTTAGCTTGTTTCCCATGTTCATTTAGTCACGACTTTCCACTCATGATTGTGACAAGAAAACGTTCTGGACTTAAAGGGGAACTCCGCGAAAACATAAAATTTAAATCCTGTAGAGTTTCGGGCACTGAATCGAATGGTCTTGGTCCGAAGTCTCTACGAGAAAGCGTCCTTGAGATATTTCAATTTCATCGCCAAGTCGCCTGAGCCCGTGCGATGCCAAAATGTTGTGTTGTTGGTTGTGCCAGTATCACATAATCCTCCTGGGCTTAGTTTTCTCAGTTTCCCAAAGGATGGAGACCTGGCAAAGCGCCGAGATGTTGCAATACGTCGTGAAAATGTCAGTCGATTTTCGCAGCACGAGCTATGTTTGCTCGCTGCATTTATGATCCAGAGGTACTTGAGAGCTGAGTTTTGACGAGTACGCCGTCCAGGAAAGCCCTCATCAGTGTACCAGTGCCCTCCGAACCATGAGCCTCCAGCAAAGCGAACTCAACAAGCTGCAACTGAAAGCAGGACGAGGTACGTATACTCAGGATCAGAAGAGTACATCACCCCATCAACTCTGACTGCAGCTAGCTGATGAACGATATTATCCCGATTATGTTGCGCATACCAGTACTCAAACTGTGTACATCTGTCATCAACTGGGATGCAAACAGACAGACTCCCAGGAAGTACGAAGGTTACAGAACTGTTTGCTTGCGATAGCAGGCAGCATGCACGACGAACTGTCTGACCAATCCTGCCAAACTAAACCGGCGTAAGTAACAGTTGATTGTGTGGATATGTCTCTATTTATAATAGTTACTCTACTTTTAGGCATGGTGGCATCACTATCATATCACTCAGAGCAGTTGTTAGAAGTCTGGACAGCCTAAGAAAAGTGCAAGTAAGGTGGAACACAAAATTAATGTATTACAACTCCGAGTTCCACGCTTGCGGAATCACCAGGCCCAAAAATTCTAATGTCGAACGGGGAATGGGTTCTGGTTGTATGCGAAGGAAAAGTAAGTGAATAACTATTGTGCAAGGAATACAGTGGGAACTACACATACACATGCACTCACACCTTCACCCACTTGCACGTGCGCATGTGCTTGCACACACACACAAACACAGCAACACACACACACACATACACACACACACATACTAAACTCACTCGCACGCACGCTAGCCTAAGAATAGTACATATGCTGTAGTAGTAGGTATATCACCGTATTTTTTCTTTCATAGTAAACCAGGAAAACTGTTTGTTTTCGGGAAGAACTACAGTAGAGGAGATAGCACAGAAAATTTGGATGAAAAAATATTGAAGGGTACCAGAGATATGAGGCGTCAAAGTCATACGCCAACCTTCATCATGATGTGTTCAGAATGCCATACTGCTGTGGCACCAACAGGGTTTTCCGGAATCGCTTGCAACATTACAATATTGTCAGAATGCTATGAAAGCTGGCTTGTAGGTGCAATATAGGTGCAATACAGGTTGGTTAGTCCTAATGTTGACAAAAATATAATATTTCGGCAAGCGATGACCAATGAGAACGAGCGCGGTGGATGTAGCAACAACCATAGGAAGAATGCTAA